TTACTCAGACCCAACCTGGCTGTTCCCATAGAAAAACAGAAAAGACTGTTCCTAAGGACATAACAGAATCAGTCTTTGCACATGCCAGGAGGAGAATAATGCAAACCTTCCAAAGCAGAAATACTTGGGCTCCAGCCCGCGAGATCCCACACTATTCCTAGAGATTTCATGATGAGCCCCCCCAGATTTAATCCCAAGGAATAGACCAGTGCCTATGATCTTCTGTCCTGTTCATTTTGCACACATTGAGAAAAAGCTGTTCATCCATACAGGAAGGGAAGGAGGAGGGAGAGAACAATGAATAAAACAGCAATGCCACTTAATTCTAACAAGTACAGGGCATAAGGTGGCTGGCTTTGATGACTGGCAAATGCACAAGACTGAATCACAGATCTGTCAGTGTCTGTGTTAAAGTCAGATTGCCAGTGAGATGACTGTCCTGTAGAAGCAGAAACAGGCCAGCTCAGGAACAAAATAGCGCAAACCTGTGCCTAGCAGAACGTCACAGAATGTACATGGAATTAATTGTATCCTCCCCTAGCAAGGATGGTAACTCTTAATTAAAACCCGAGGTCATGCAGTGTCTAAAGTTATGGCCATAACCACACTTGTCTAAGGTAGGAGTCACTTCATGCTCAATTGTAATGCTTTAAGAATTGAAAAATAGGATGCCATCCATCATTTCCAAACACTTAGGAAGGAACTTTCAAAGAAAGTCAGGCTTAAACTACACATCACTACAGAGTCTTGCCTATCTTAATTTTGACTGCATTTTGAATTCCTCATATACCACTATACCAAGTTTCTTTGCTGTCTGCAAAATGTCTGCATGATTTTTATTTATATTGACCACCACCTTCTAGTATTACCTAGGTTTGAAATACCTGCCTCAGATCTACAACTTATTCAATATTATTTTTTTATTTGATAAGACTAAAAATTTGTCTGTCATCGGGTTTCTGTACATTGCCATTATCTGTATTCTCAGATGACTCTCTCAGCTGAGTGTCTTATAGTTTCTCTGTTTCAGTGTTTTTCTTTCTTTATGCAATGTATGAAGGAAAATAAAAACATAGAAATAAAATGTGCAACTGTTGCAAGTTAAGGAATTTTTGCTAGAATATAAAATGAATCAAGAGTACAATTAATAATAGGAATTCTGATTTATCTGATAGACTTTTAGCATGCTAATATGGCGTTCTCAACTTCTAGCCAGGCACCTCTTGGAGACTGTCAAGTAGTTGCCCTCTGTGATTTCATGTCATGTGTTAGTATTAAAAAAGAACTAAAGCTAAAGTTTGTCTTCATCTTGGCACTTTTCTTTCTAAACTTAAAAGTGTTTGCAGAAATTAAAAAAACTAATATGTGCAGTAGCATATGTGCGTGTACATTCACAAATCTGTAGATTTGCATAGAGAAACATATATACTACTTCATTTTGTAGACCAGAATACCTAATGATAGAATATTCCAAAGTAAACAGTCACTTAAAATACATATCAACAAAAATCAAATGCTGTTAATGATTATTAAATCACTATTAGTCATTAAATCCATTAATGATTATTTCACATAATAGTCCAGATGCAGCCTTCAACTCAGAATGTCTCTAAAGGTAGCTGCCAAAAGCCAGGAGGTAACACAGAGGAGCAGTCACTCCCCACTGCTTGTAAGTGTCACTCTGATACGACTGCCACAGCTCCATACTCCATTCCTCTTTTACAAAATCCTAGTTAGACAGACTCTAATTTTGCTTTCAGATTACTATCAAAACATAGTATCTAGAAAAGAAGTCCGCACAGAGAACACAAGCTCTCCCAAGGAAATAATGATCTTAAAAGTTATGCATGGCCTTAAGTATTTAACTCAGCACAGGAACATAACATAACATAATAATGGTGAGTTAAAACATCAATGTTATTGCACTGCAGATTGCTTCCAATTCTAAATGTTATTATTTCCATGTGTTAATAATCACAACTATAAATAAGAGAAAGACTAACGACCTTTAAAAATCATCTATTTAAATTAGCTATCATTGGCCATGATGGAAACATATCATCATACATCCACTTCTAAAATAAAAATCTAACAAAAATGAGATGCCTTTTATAAATATGCTTAATGAAATACTTGCCTTTAGCCCCAGAATATAATCAGCCTGCTTGGGGTTCATTCAAAAATCATTCTAGCGTTTTGAGGGTTTTTTTTTAAATTTCCTTTGGAAAAAATACTGCCCTAAAATTACTTTTTCTTACCCCTATGTTAACATTAGCATATGCCCAGGCTTTATGTCAGATAGCAACTATTCTTCTTTTCCTAAGGATCTATAAACCATATGGACCTTTATGTTTTTTCGATGTACAAAAAAGCTAAGACAGACAGAAAAGGAGGAGTGTTCTGGTGAATTTTGTTTGTTTGTTTGTTCATGGACAGATAAATAAACCAAATATTGTTATAACAAGAACTCTGATTTGTTATTTCAAGCAGGATTTACTTTCTGAATCAATGCTGCAAAATTTTTCTAATCTCTGTGGTTTATTTAAACGATTAATCAACTTTCAAGAAATTGATTCCCTTAATACACCAAACTGCCTGATCCCTAACTAAATGTTTCTGTAGGTTGAAGCCATCCATAGTTTTCTGACATGTGAAAGAAGAAGAAGAAGATGAAGAATCTTCTCGTCCAATTTACATTTTTCTATCAAAGAATGTTTAGGCTTATAAAACTATTTAGGCACCATGATTAAAATATATCAACGGTGGGCCAAATCATCACTGTTTCTCTAAGTGGACTGTCATGCACTGTGTAAACCTGCTCTCAGAGACTCTCTATAGTTACTCAGTGGGATCCTAGCCAATATCATACATCCTGAGTAGTTTGGGACGCTGGGAACCAATCCAGGAGTGCCTGGGTGATTCAGTTGATACTGAGAGCTTTCTCATCTGTCTTTGACGTTGTTTGCTCTGACAAGGGCCCCCCTTGTATTTTTAAAATAGATTGTGCTCTTTAACAAAGATCTCTTCCAACTTGTTCTTGCTTTTTTCTTTTTTGCTACAAGACGATGAACCAACTGTGGATATGGATTTTTTTCTTTAATATAACTTCACATAACTTCCTGAGATTTCCCGGGAGAAAAGCATATGAGACAAGTTCTTACAGCCAAAACTTCATAGGAGAAAAGCTACTGGTGATAAACATTATGAATTTTGTGGAGTGAACGTAAGTGATAAAGTGTGTTTAGCTGTTTGAAGTATTTTCCAGAACATACCTGCAAGTAGCAGAGTAGGAAGGAATGAACAAATTATGAAAAAAGGATTTCCAAAGAAATGGTTTCCAATTAACAGAAAAAAGTCTAGTGAATGATCAAAAATAAAACTGTATTTAAAAAAAAATGTATTTCATACAAAATGGTTATTACTGCTATATGTATTTTCATTGAAACATGACTTTCTGAACTGTTTTTTAAGAAGAGAATAAAAAAACTGTCAAACTCAGCCTGTATCTACTTAATCAAATTCTTCCTGAGTGCTATGCATGCAGCTGAAAACATACTCTCCAGATTGCAACACACCCCTCTTAAGATAGACCCAAATTATATAGCTCCCTCATTCATCAGGGAAAAAAAGAAAAAAGAAAAACTAAAATTTACTATTGCTCTTCTTTCTGCAAGAACAGTCAGGGGGGTGCTCATTCTTTAATCCCATACTGAAAATGCCAAAATAAGAGATGTTACTCCGTTTTTTTTTTCCACGTACTCTACTCTGAAATATATGCCTTTAAATCAAAAGTTAATCTCAATTTATGCTACTTGAAATGAGAAGATATATTTCTTTTCTCATGTTTTGTTTCTGTTGATGCTAAATTAGGTAATAATGCAGTTAAGGGAGTTTTAAAAGGTGTGAGAGAAAAAAATATATTCTCAAAGGACTCATTTCTACAGCTCATAACTCAGAAAGATAAACTTTGTGCAGAAGTTGTATCAAAGAGAACTTTCTTACCTGCACCTTAAATCATAATACTGTCTTTAAGTTACTTGGAAATTCTTAATATTGTAAGTCACAAACAATATGTTTCTAATTAAATGATATGGTTTTAATTCCAAATGTGAAAAAGAGAAACCTCTAGAAAAAAAAAATTCAATTGCATTATAATGGTAAAACTGAATTTGAACATATTTTTCATTTTATAAATCAGCTATTAGATCTACTTTTTTCTCTGTTCTACCACTCTCCCACATCAAGCATGTATTATTTTAGTTTTCCTTTTTTACATGTTAAATATGAGCAGGGTTATTTCACAGGAATTAAAGAATAGCAAAAAAGAAAAAAAAAGATATTTCTAAGGGAGGTACACTAGTGCAATATTAAATCTTGAAAATAGAAGTGCTATGAGCAGAAGGGTTCTAAAAGGACATTTTCAGGAGAGCTAACGAACCACAGGGAGTGCAATTGCAAGCATGCATAGTTGAAGATTACATACGTCTACTTCGTATCTCTTCAGTCTTCTCTCATTAAGCTGGGGAACGAGTTGCAGCAAGGGATGCAGGACAGACGACTGAGAGGACACGAACACAGACACATGAGCAACAATGAAATCCTGACCTCATGATGCACATCATGGCTCTTCCCACGCTGAAGGTGTTAACTGAGAAACTCATTTCTTGAACACTCAGAATTGACAACATAAAGGCGCCAACATTTATATTTACACT